TTTATTTTTATTTTTTGTAGAGACGGGGTTTCACTATGTTGCCCAGGCTGGTCTTGGGACTCCTGGCTTCAAGGAATCCTCTCACCGCAGCCTCCCAAAATACTGGGATTACAGGCATGAGTCTCCTCGCCCAACCTTTCTTATATTTCAATCCACACCATGATAGAGATCAAAGAACAGGTTTATGACCTAGAGCTTTCAGGCCAGGTAGTGGCTTATGCCTGTAATCCCAGTACTTTGGGAGGTCATGGCGGGAGGACTGATGGAGCCCAAGAGTTTGAGACCAGCCTGGGCAACAAGGTGAGACCCTGTCTCTACAAAAAATGAAAATAAAAGTAATGGGAGAAGCACCAAGTTACCTTGAATACCTAGAAGAAACTACTCCACTGTACCACATAATGTGCACTTTTTCGTTTTGCTAAAAGTAAAAAGAAAAAAAAAAATTAGCCAGGCATAGTGGTGCACACCTGTAGTTCCAGCTACTTGGGCGGCTGAGGTGGGAGAACTGCCTGAGCCCAGGAGGTTGAGGCTGCAGTGAGCTGTGAGGACGCCATTACACTCCAGCCTTGGAGACAGAATGAGACCCTGTCTCTTACAAAAAACAAAAATTGCCAGCTTGGAGAACAGTGTCTGGCACATCATAGATACTCAGTAAATACCTGCCAAATGAGTAAGCTAGTCTGCTGGCTTTCCACAGGCTGTGAAATGGTATCTTAAGGGTTGAGCAAATCTTACCTAGATATTTATTTATTTATTTATTTAATTTTATTTTATTTGAGATGGAGTCTCGCTCTGTTGCCCAGGCTAGAGTGCAGTGGCATGATCTTGGCTCACTGCAACCTCCACCTCCCAGGTTTAAGCGATTCTCCTGCCTCTCAGCCTCCCAAGCAGCTGGGATTACAGGCATGCGCCACTACACCCAGTTAATTTTTGTATTTTGAGTAGAGATGGGGTTTCACCATATTGGCCAGCCTGGTCTCGAACTCCTGACCTCAGGTGATCTGCCCATCTCAGCCTCCCAAAGTGCTGGGATTACAGGAACGGGCCACCACAACTGGCCAGATTTATTTATTTTTTTATTTTAAAGACAGGATCTCACTGTGTTGCCCAGGGTGCAGGGCAGTGGCACAATCTTGGTTCACTACAACCTTCACCTCCCAGGTTCAAGCGATTTTCCTGCCTCAACCTCCCAAGTACCTGGAATTACAGGCATGTGCCATCACACCCGGCTAATTTTTGTATTTTTAGTAAAGATGGGGTTTTACCATGTTGGCCAGGCTGGTCTCGAACTCCTGGCCTCAAGTGATCCAACTGCCTCGGCCTCCCAAAGTGCTGGATTACAGCCAGGTGGTAAGCCATCAGGCTTGGCCCTTACTTAGATTTTAAGGAGCAGGCAATACCGACGCCTGGCAAGTTTTCAACCTTTCTTTTCTTCTTCTTCTTTTTTTTTTTTTTTTTGGGACGAAGTCTCGCTCTGTCGCCCAGGCTGGAGTGCAGTGGCACAATTCGGCTCACTGTAAGCTTTGCCTCCCAGGTTCACGCCATTCTCCTGCCTCAGCCTCCCGAGTAGCTGGACTACAGGTGCCCACCACCACGCCCAGCTAATTTTTTGTATTTTTGGTAGATACGGGGTTTCACCATATTAGCCAGGATGGTCTCGATCTCCGGACCTAGTGATCCGCCTGCCTTGGCATCTCAAAGTACTGGGATTATAGGCGTGAGCCACTGCACCTGGCCAGTTTTCAACCTTTCTAAGAAGAAATAGCTCATTTTGGCCGGGCATGGTGGCTTACACCTTTAATCCCAGCACTTTGGGAGGCTGAGGCAGGTGGATCACGAGGTCACGAGTTTGAGACCAGCCTGGCCAAGATGGTGAAACCCCATTTCTACTAAAAATACAAAAATTAGCAGGGCGTGGTAACACGCGCCTGTAATCCTAGATACTCGGGAGGCTGAGGCAGGAGAATCACTTGAACCCGGGAGGCGGAGGTTGTAGTGAGCCGAGATCACGCCATTGCACTCCAGCCTGGGCGACAGAGCGAAACAAGAGCAAAACTCCGTCTTAAAAAAAAAGCAATAGCTCATTTTAAAAAAAACTTTTCAATTATTTTCCAGCATACAGCAAACATGATAAGAACACACACATTTAGAAACCACCGACTTTCTACAAAGAAGAAAAGAACTCAGAACTAATATAAGCCGGGTGTGGTGGCTCACGCCTGTAATCCCAGCACTTTAGGAGGCCGAGGTGGGCAGATCATGAGGTCAGGATATCGAGACCATCCTGGCTAACACGGTGAAACCCCATCTCTACTAAAAAAATACAAAAATTACCCAGGCGTAATGGCGCGTGCCTGTAGTCCCAGCTACTTGGGAGGCTGAGGCAGGAGAGTTGCTTGAACTTAGGAGGTGGAGGTTGCTGTGAGCTGAGATCGCACCACTGCACTCCATCTGTGTGGCAGAGCAAGACTCCATCTCAAAAAAAAAAAAAAAAAAAAAAGAACTAATATAAATTATATGTCTTTACTGGGTGGTTAAGTCTGAATTTATGAGCAAAGTATAAACTCAAAAGAATTTTTAAGTATTGGACCTGAAATTAAAAACAGAGATTTCAAATCTTGTTATTTTTCAAGTGTAAATTCACATAGTTTTAATAGTGTCTTCAATGAATGGTGCTGGGACAACCGGATATCCACATGCTAAACTCTTCTCTCACTCTTCTCTCACACCATATACAAAATGGACTCATATACAAAATTGGACTCACCATATACAAAATTGGACTCTTCTCTCACACCATATACAAAACCAACTCAAAATAAATCAAAAGACCTAAATATAAGAAGTAAAACTATAAAAAGCCCTTACAAGAAGATAAAGGGATAAGTCTTTGGGATACTGGATTTGGCAATGGTTTCTTATACATGATACCAAAAGCACAAGCACCGAAAGAAATATTAAAGAAATTGGACTTCATCAAAATTAAAAACCTTTGTGCTTCAAAGAACACTATAAAGAGTGAAAAGACAATTCATATGACCCACAATTCCACTGCTAGGTGAATGTCCAAGAGAAATTAAAACATGTGCACCCAAAAATGTTCAAAGCAACACTATTTGTAATACTCAAAAGGTGTAAACTCAAATGTGTACCAACTGCTGAATGGATACACAAATGTGACATATCCATATGACAGACCATTTATTCAGCCATAAAAAGGTATGAAGTACTGGTCCTACATCATGGATGAACCTTAACAACATCATGTTAAGTAGAAGAAGTCAGTTTGTTTGTTTGAGACAAAGTCTCTCTCTGTTGCCCAGGCTGAAGTACAACAGCACAATCTGGGCTCACTGCAACCTCCACCTCCCAAGTTCAAGCAATTCTCCTGCCTCAGCCTCCTGAGTAGCTGGGATTACAGGCACCCACCACCACGACTGGCTAATTTTTGTATTTTTAATAGAGACGGGGTTTCCCCATGTTGACCAGTCTGGTCTCGAACTCCTGACCTCAGGTGATCCGCCTGCCTCGGCCTCCGAAAATGCTAGGATTACCGGCATGAGCCACCGCGCCTAGCTGGAAGAAGTCAGTTATAAGACCACATAATTGCATTTATATGAATTGTCCAGAGAGAAAAAGAAGGTAGATTTATGATTGCCAGGGAATGAGAGAAGGAGGAAACAGGTTTGCTTAACCGCATGCTTAATGAGTATGGGGTTTCTATTTGGGGTGATGATTTTGTCCAAAGGCTTAGCAACTATATTCCTCCCCCTTTATGCTACATCCAACACCTGTGCTAGAAGCTATCTAAAGAAGTCCTAAGCTGCTTTATGCCAGCCACAAGGAAAGGCAACAGCTTCAGTACATGCCAATCAAAGATGAAGAACCCCAGTATAAGAAAGGTTGCTACTGACAGTTAGTGTGGGAGATAATGGTAAATAATGTTTCATTTGACTATGGTAAGACAATTACAAACATAAAACAATACAGCATTACATCACTCTGATATCATATACTTCCCCAGACCAGAGTTTCTCAATTTTGGCACTACTGACATCTAGACCAGAATAATTCTTTGTCATGTGGGCTGTCCTGTGCACTGTAGGATGTTTAGCAGCATCTCTGGCCACAACCCACTACGCACTAGTAGCATTCTCCAGTCATGGCAATTACAAATGTTTCCAGACATTATGCCCCAGGCGGCAAAATGGCCCTCAGATGAGAACCACTGCTCTAGACTAAAATACTGAACATTCTGTCCAACATTAACATACATAAAGTGATGAACCTTAGGGTTATGGGTTGGTAAATGAGAGAAGACAAAACAACCTGGACCACTTGGGACTGCCACGGGTCAGCTTCCTAAAAGCCAATGTTTGGGAAAGGATTATGGGAAAATGTAAGCAGAGAGAGCTGAAATCTTGAAAATACATTCTTAGGATCAGAACAATGATCACCTAAATGAAGGGGAGTTGGAATAAAGCGGCACGCACCTGGTAATGCATTTAATTGTCATAGTTCTGCTGATTTTTTTTTTTTTTTTCAGATGGAGTCTTGCTCTGTTGCCCAGGCTAGAGTGCAGTGCTGCAATCTTGGCTCACTGCAACCTCTGCCTCCAGGGTTCAAGCAATTTCCTACTTCAGCTCCTGAGTAGCTGGGATTACAGGCGCCTGCCACCACACTGGGCTAATTTTTGTATTTTTAGTAGAGATGGGGTTTCACCATGTTGGTCAGGCTGGTCTCGACCTCCTGGCCTCATGATCCGCCTGCCTTGGCCTCCCAAAGTGCTGGGATTACAGGCGTGAGCCACCACGCCCAGCCTGTTCTGCTGATTTAATTCCCTTGTGGATCAATGATGCTTAAAGACCAGTAGAGAAATGATCCCTGCTATCTGCATGCTGGATGCCTATCATGTCTACCCTAGGGATAAAGGCAGCTATTCAGACACTGCCAGAGTGTTTCTGGTTTCTGTGAGGAAAATAAAGAAAAACACTGCCTACCTGAGAGTCCCGTTCTCTCCTTTGTCCAGGCTGGTGAACCGGCTGTAGAGGCGAGTGATTTGACTGTGGGAAACTGAAGAGCACAAAATTAGTCCCAGCTGGCGGGGAGTAGCCCTCATTCATGCTGAACCCACCCCTCGCTGTCAAATGCTTCAAAATTCAGTAGGACAGGGATGTCGCAACTCTTATCTCTAGAATGTTAAAGCAGAAAGTTTAAAAGCTAAAGAATGAAAGGAGTTAGAAAAAAACTAAATCAAGGGCAATCAAAATTCAATCTCAGGAATGAAGTCTAGGCTTAATTAAGACTGTGATGAATATCAGATAGTTAAGATTTAACAAAACAAAGGCAAATTTTTGTCCTGTCCTGTCCTGTCCAATCCTATCCCATCCTATTTTATTGAGACAAAGTTTTGCTCTCGTCACCAAGGCTGGAGTGCAGTGGTAAGATCTCGGCTCACTGCCACCTCCGCCTCCTGGGTTCAAGTGAACTTCCAAGTAGCTAGGATTACAGGTGCCCGCCACCACACCCAGCTAATTTTTTGTATTTTTAGAAGATACGGGGTTTCCCCATGTTGGCTAGGCTGGTCTTGAACTCCTGACCTTAGGTGATCCACTCACCTCAGCCTCCCAAACTGCTGGGATTATAGGGGTAAGCCACCATGCCCGGCACAAATTTAGTTTAAAAGGAAGCTGTGAAACTTTCATGTTTCTTTTTTTTTTTTTTTAGACAGAGTCTCGCTGTGTTGCCCAGGCTGGAGTGCAGTGGCCCGATCTCAGCTCACTGCAAGCTCCACCTCCCGGGTTCACGCCATTCTCCTGCCTCAGCCTCCCGAGCAGCTGGGACTACAGGCGCCCGCCACCTCGCCCGGCTAGTTTTTTTTTGTATTTTTTAGTAGAGACGGGGTTTCACCGGGTTAGCCAGGATGGTCTCGATCTCCTGACCTCATGATCCGCCCGTCTCGGCCTCCCAAAGTGCTGGGATTACAGGCGTGCCCGTCTCGGCCTCCCAAAGTGCTGGGATTACAGGCGTGAGCCACCGCGCCCGGCCGAAACTTTCATGTTTCAATGCGCTGACTTAGACACTAAGAAAACGTATGTTTTTACTTTATTTTACTTTTTTCTTTTCTTTCTTTCTTTTTTTTTTTTTTTCTGAGATGGGGTTTCACTCTTGTTGCCCAGGCTGGAGTACAACAGCAAGATCTTGGCTCACTGCAACCTCCACCTCTTGGGTTCAAGCGATTCTCCTACCTCAGTCTCCCAAGTAGCTGGGATTATAGGCACCCACCACTAAGCCCAGCTAATTTTTTATTTTTAGTAGAGACAGGGTTTTGCCATGTTGACCAGGGTGGTCTTGAACTCCTGACCTCAGGTGATCCACCCGCCTCAGCCTCCGAAGGTGCTGGGATTACAGGCGTGAGCCACCATGCCCAGCCTATTTTACTTATTTTTCAAATTTTATTTTATTTTATTTTATTTTTGGGGGATAGAGTCTCACTTTGTCACCCAGGCTGGAGCGCAGTGATGCAATCTCTGCTCACTGTAACCTCCACTTCCTGGGTTCAAGCGATTCTGGTGCCCCAGACTCCCAAGTAGCTGGGATTACAGGCATGAGCCACAGTTCCCAGCTAAAAATGCCTATTTTGATTGAAAAACAGTTTGATCAGTTTGCTGTTTTAGGCTGTACTGCTAGGTAGGTGTTGTGTGTAGAATGTTTGATTGGGGTACATCAAATAGATTCTATTTTAAAAATCTGGTTTACTCCTACACCAAGATTAGAGGCTTTATCTTTTCCCTAGGGATGGACCTTTGGATAAAAGATCAGCCTCTTTTCTGTGATTGCATGAGCTTCACTGAGTTCCCCAGGAAGGGAACTGGCTCCAAGGAAGCACATTAGGCAAATTCGTAAAATGGTCATGCTATCATCAGATGACACCTACCAGAAAGCTATTTTGCTCCTCATTTTGGATTTAGTCCATAAACTCAAGATACAAGTTGACAATTAAAATGACGCAATAATGGCAGGTACACAATAACACTAAAAACTCAAAAAGGCCTTTCTGGGAAATAGTTTAGTCTCCTGATAGATTGGAAGTAAGAGAGAGGAAACAAACAGAGTTACCGGAGGAGAAAAGACAACAGCCAAAAAGGGTGTGACAAGCATGGACTTTGTCCTAGGCTGTACCTTCAGAGGTTTAAAGGGGTGGCCAAAGTAGTTCTGATAAGGTGTCCTCCTGCCTCAGCTCATGAAACAAAAATTTACTTGTAGTGTTGGGAACAATGGGACAAAGTAAACAGGGACAAGCAGGTGGTGAGTGGCTCAGAGCTAGGATAAAAGGACACACTGTGTGTGGCTGTGAATTCTTCAGCATCAGGTTTCACCCTCGAAGCTGGGCTCTGTTCTGTCCTAGCGCTCTAAGGTGATCACTGAGCAGAGAAGGCAAAAGCATTTCCATCAGGGCAGAGCCAGCAGGGATCCAGTCACTAAGGAGACAGTTGTGGACTGTTTTGCCAGTCAGGCAGGTATAAATGGCTCACTGTGAAGTGTACACACACGTGAGGGTTAGGCAGACAGATTCTGATTCCATTCCTAGCACCACCGCTTACTAGAGAGGGGTATGTGAACGGGATCGAAGGGGGAACTCACCAGTCAATGAAAGGAAAGTGCTTGGCAAAGTGCCTGGCACATAGCAAGCACTCCAGGTCAGCTATTATCAGCATCACGCTTACATCCTGAGCCTGAAGGCACACGTATTACTGCTGTACTAATCACTCCCCATTTCCCTGCTGACTTTGCCAGTTACAACCGTTTTCTTTAAGAAGTTGACCAGTCTATCCCAGTTCTGGCCTCAGGCCTCACAGGCTACTCTTGCACTAAAGTTTCCTTTAGTTTAGCAAAAATAAGTCAGTTAAAGAATTACTAAATTTCGGGCCGGGTGCAGTGGCTCACACCTGTAATCCCAGCACTTTGGCAGGCCAAGGGGGGTGGATCAAGAGGAAAAGAGATCGAGACCATCCTGGCCAACATGATGAAACCTCGTCTCTACTAAAAATACAAAAATGTGCTGGGCATGGTGGCATGTGCCTGTAGTCCCAGCTACTTGGGAGGCTGAGGAAGGAGAATGACTTGAACCAGGGAGGTGAAGGCTGCAGTGAGCGGAGATCCCATCACTGCACTCCATTAAAAAAAAAAAAAAAAAAATTACTACACTTCCCAAAAGCAAAATTTGTTCACAATCCCAACACTGCCATTTTCATTTCTTCATATATCTTTTTTTTGAGACAGAGTTTCGCTCTTGTTGCCCAGGCTAGAGTGCAATGGTACGTTCTCGGCTCACCACAACCTCCGCCTCGCGGGTTCAAGCGATTCTCCCGCCTCAGCCTCCCAAGTAGCTGGAATTATAGGCATGCACCACCATGCCCAGTTAATTTTGTATTTTCAGTAGAGACGGGGTTTCTCCATGTTGGTCAGGCTGGTTTTGAACTCCCAACCTCAGGTGATCCACCCTCCTCAGCCTCCCAAAGTGCTGGGATTACAGGCTTGAGCCACCGCGCCTGGCTCTTCATATATCATCTAATATCAGTTACTTGTATAACTAAGTTGTAATAGCTTGCTTTTCATTTAGTAATTCATACTTTTTCTATATTGCTTTGGAGTACTTCTTAATCCAATTTATATAATTTTAAAATTGGAAGAAAGGTTATCTAATCCGACCCCTTCAATGAACAAATGAGAGCCAGGCAGGATGGCTGGCACCTATAATCCCAGGACTTTCAGAGGCAGAGGCAGGACAATAATTTGAGGCCAGGAGTTCAAGACCAGGCTGGGGAACAGAGTGAAACCTCTTCTCTACAAAAATAAAAAATAAAATTATTTTAAACCAAAAAAAATCCACAAATGAGCCATTAAACATCTTTCTAATCTATATCATCCAAAATAACTGGGCAGTGAGGCCGGGCGCGGTGGCTCACGTCTGTAATCCCAGCACTTTGGGAGGCCGAGGCAGGCGGATCATGAGGTTAGGAGATCAAGACCATCCTGGCAAACACGGTGAAACCCTGTCTCTACTAAAAATACAAAAAATTAGCCAGGTGTGGTGGTGGGTGCCTGTAGTCCCAGCTACTTGGGAGGCTGAGGCAGGAGAACGTTGTGAACCCAGGAGGTGGAGTTTGCAGTGAGCGGAGATCACGCCACTGCACTCCAGCCTGGGTGACAGAGCGAGACTCTGTCTCAAAAATATAAAAAATAAAAAATAAAATAATAATAAATAAAATAAAATAAAATAACTAGACACTAAAATCTCCTATAGTATGTTAAGACCAGTTTATGGCAGCTAAATTTAAAATGTGGCAGGGCGTGGTGGCTCAAGCCTGTAGTCCCAGCACTTTGGGAGGCTGAGGGCCGGCAGATCACCCGAGGCCAAGAGTTCAAGAGCAGTCTGGCCAACATGGTGAAACCCTGTCTCTACTAAAAATACAAAAATTAGCCAGGTGTGGTGGTGTAATCTCAGTTACTTGGGAGGCTGAGGCAGGAGAATCGTTTGATCCTGGGAGGCAGAGGTTGCAGTGAGCTGAAATCTCACCACTGCACTCCAGCCTGGGTGACAGAGTGAAATTACGCCTCAAAACAAAACAAATAATAACAAAAAAAGTACTAATATGTTAAAAATAAATAATGTAAATAAGTAGCCAAAACATTTTTTAAAATCTGCTATCTTCCAGGACGAACTGGGTTATATGGGAGTCAGTGGAGAAACATAAAACCAAATGTCAACTTTTAATGTTAACGAATATGGTCATATCTAAACTAAACTCGAAAATTTTAGGACAAATTTTAGAACCATAATGATATGGTTACAAATAATTCTGTTAACAAAAAGAAGGAGAGAAGGCTTTAATTTAGGTGACAAATTCACTGTGACAAAGAATATAAAGCAATCTCAGAACAATTCCAATCTACCTATAAAGGAGTTACACCATCTATGTGTAGAAAGGTATTGGAACTGGTGTGAATGAAGGCCGATCATGTTTCCAGTGAAGTATTTTCCCCAGAAGGCTCTAAGCTAGTCAGACAGG